ACTCTTAGAATGTGTGTTGATTACAGAGCCCTAAATAAAGTAACAATCAAAAACCGGTATCCCTTGCCATGTATAGATGAATTAATCGACCAGTTACATGGGTCAAAATTCTTCAGTAAAATAGATCTCCATTCAGGGTACCACCAGATAAGAGTGAAAGATGAGGATGTTCATAAAACTGCGTTTAGGACCAGATATGGTCATTTCGAATTTCTTGTCATGCCATTCAGCTTGACAAACACCTCTGCCTCATTTATGAGGTTAATGAATGATATTTTTAGGGATCAATTAGACAAGAGTGTTATTGTCTATTTAGACGATATACTAGTATACAGCCAAACGAAAGAAGAGCATTACGAGCATGTGCATCAGGTTTTTGAAACCCTTCAGCACCATAAGCTATATGGAAAAATGAAAAAATGTGACCTAGGAAGAAATAAAGTTGAGTTTTTGGGTCATATTATATCTAATGATGGAATAAAGATGGACTCCAAGAAAACCTCTGTCATCCAAAACTGGCCAGCATTAACTAACATCTATGACCTTCGTTCTTTTTTGGGCCTTGCAAGTTACTATCACAAGTTCGTTGCGAATTTTTCAACTATAGCAGCACCACTAACCAAGTTGCTCAAGAAAGATGAAAAATTTGTTTAGAATGAACAGCAGGAACTAGCTTTTAAGGCCCTCAAGAAGGCGTTAACCTTCACCCCAGTCTTATTAATACCTGACCCCAACAAACCCTTTTCGGTAACAACAGACGCCTCTGATATAGCAATCGGTGCAATTCTGTGCCAAGACCAAGGAAAAAGTGACCAACCAGTGGCATATGAATCCAGAAAACTAACGCTGGCCGAGTTAAACTACCCAGTACATGAAAAGGAACTCTTGGCAGTCATACATGCATTAAAGGTTTGGCATGTGTATTTAGAAGGAAGATTTTTCCAAGTGACAACTGACCATGAATCGCTAAAATACTTGCAGTCGCAAGCAAAGCTGTCACGTAGGCAAGCCCGTTAGGTTGAAATGCTCCAAGCATATAATTTTGTGATTAAATATCGTTCAGAAAAAACCAACATGATAGCTGACACTCTATCAAAGAAACCTGAGGTAAATAGCATTAGTGAAGTTCATATAGATGAAGAATTATACGAAAGAATAAAAGAAAAATATGAAGAGGATGCCCATTTTCAAAAAATTTTAAAGGCACTTGAAGACCCTAGTTGTGATGAAGCGAAAAGATTATGAAAACAATTAAACTGTTACAAGCTACGCGAGAACGGAATTATTACCTTTGAAGATAAAGAAAATTCACGGTTGTGTCTTACAAAAAAATCCAAAACACGAATGCTCCTGTTGAAAGAACAACATGATATTAGTAGGCATTTCGGATTCGAGAAAACATATGAAGGGTTGAGAAGATATTACTATTGGAAAAACATAGCTAAAGACACAAAGAAGTACATATGTAGCTGCGATAGTTGTCAATGTAACAAGGGCTCTACGCAGGCACCTGCAGGATTGTTACAACTCTTAGAAATACCAGCTCAACTGTGGGAGGTAATTTCGATAGATTTCGTTACACATTTGCTACATACTGAATATGGAAATGATTCAATAATGGTGGTTGTGGACAAATTAAGTAAAAAAGTGCATTTCTTATCTACCAAAAGAACCACGACAGCAATGGAAATTGCACAGCTTTTTTTTGATAAAATATTTAGGCACTATGGACTACCTAGATACATAATTTCAGATAGAGACCCAAAATTCACAAGCAGATTTTGGAAAGGTCTTTTCCAAATCATGGGATCGAAATTGAAAATGTCCACCGCAGTGCACCCTCAAACTGATGGACAAACAGAGCGCACAAACCATATACTCGAAAAAGTCCTACATGCCTACGTGAACTACAAACAAAACGATTGGGATCAACTCTTAACAGTGGTTGAATTTGCATATAACAATTCATTACAATCCTCTACGGGTTTCACCCCCTTCCAACTAGATAACGGTCATCATCCTATTACTTCTCCTAGCTTAATGGTCAGCAAAATTCAACAAACAAACGTAAAAGCCGCACAAGAACTAATGGAACACTGAGTAACAATGATAAAAGTGGCAAGAGATGAGTTAGTAAGTGCCTAGGAAAGACAAGAAAACTATGCAAATAAGAAAAGACGATACTTAGAATTTAATGAAGAAGATTTAGTAATGTTAAATTCAGCAAATTTAACTTCGTCTGAGAATGTTAAACACCCAACAAAGAAATTCTTACCAAAATTTATTGGGCCGTTCAAAATTATACGCAAGATATCCACGACAGCATATCAGTTAGAGTTGCCTGACATCTTGCTCATTCATACAGTTTTCCATATTTCACTGTTAAAGTTGTACCATCCAAATGAGTTTGAAGACAGGGATATAGCACAGCCACCTACCTGGGTTATAAGGGAACACCACTCAGACCCAGAGTTCGAAGTCGAAAGCATATTAGATAAACATATTTTTCACCACCAGGTTCAGTATCTTGTAAAATGGAAAGGTTACCTGTTATACGACGCTACTTGGGAGCCACTAATGAATCTCGAAAACTGTAAAGACTTAGTAAAAGAATTTGAAGCATGGGGAGAAATTGTTTTAAATAGGGGAGAGTGTAAGGGGTTAAATGTAGATTCTACTTATAGGGGTACAACGACACATGTGACACATGACTTGCATAACGAACAAATTGGAATCGATGAACACAAAGCATATGATTGTACTGCGGAAGGTCATGTAATGGCCCAACTAAGTCAAAGCCGTATTCGTAATAGTAGTAATGGGCCATGTAATGTACATGAATAATGTAGTAATTAGTAGTAGTAGTAGTAGTGCATAATAAATATAGTCATAGGGTAAATTCGTATAAGCAATAATTGTGTAAGGAAAAAGGTCGAATTAGTTTTAGCTATAAATAGAGAAGAAAGTTAGTAAAAACGTTAGCAAAGAAGAAAAATAACCAAGTAATAAAGAAAATACTTCACCTTTTGCTTATAAATAGCAGGCTCCCTTTTAAGTTGTAATAAAATCGGCCTTAATATTCTGATCCTGTTACAGCCTAGATCTGATTATGTTTAGAAATTCTATATGGTTATATTTTTTTATTGATAATTGTCCATTATTGTTTTGTAAATTAACAACCTCCTTTTTAGTATATAATTTATTACAACTTGGACAAACTGAATATGTTATGAAATTTCAATTTTTAGATGTTTTTAAAATTTATATATTGAGCTTGGAAAATTTTAAATAAATTTTCATCTTCAAACTTACATAATAATTGATGAATATATTTAATTAAAACTTTAGTAGCCTCTTCAGACACTTTAAATTAGCTTTAAAAGTTAATAACCAAATTAATATATTATCATAAATAGATAATACTCTAGAACTAGATCAAGATTCTTTATAATCAATATTCGATACTGAATAATTTTTGAATTCATTAATATGACAATATCAAATGCCTTTAATTAATTTTCAGATAATGAATCATCATCATTACTATTATTGCAATTTAGCTTAATATTATTATCATTGCTTTCATCTTTCAAAGTAATGACTAATTTTTCTGTATTCAAAATAGTTATTTTAGTCCTTGATGTTTGACAGCATTTTTTTGGTAAAAATAATAAGTTATCTATATCAAGACTAGATGGAAGTTTATTATTATAACTAGATGGAATTTCATTATCTGAACATAAATTAATTGTTACCAATTTCTAATTTAGACCACTTAATTTTAAAGCTATTTGGATTGGTTGTCTTAACTTATTTAATTCTGTTTAAGACAATTGTTGTCTTTGTTGGTCAGTAGTTAAAGAATATCATTGTTTTGTACAAAAGTTAACAAGTTTGCTATTATATTTTTTGCAATAGCATTTAACACTCATACATGTTCTATATATTAAAGTAGATAGTAGTTGAGTAGTTAAAATAGAAGGATTAGATTGATGAGATAAATTTTGATTAATAGTTTTTAAAATATCTTTTGCACTTTGTTTTCGAGACATTTTTAGTAAATTGTAAATTAATAAGTTACTATTGTAAGCAACAAGTTGTTTTTTTGTAAAAATTAGCACATATTT